TTGTAACTCACACAGTCTTTCAGTTCAGCATGCACTGTGTATATACAGCTCTGCATGCTGAAACTGTGTTGATTATTATGACCTGGCATGATACTCACTTTTCACAAGCCATGTTTCATTTGAAAAAGGAGGAGAAGACATGACTATTATTTTATTAAGAGAGAGATGAATAATTAGTATTATTAAATATAATTTAATTCATCTGCATTTAAAATTTAATTAGTCTATACTCTTCAATTTGAGAGTTTCTATGAGTGTTTTAATAGTTTTCATATCAGCTTGAACTTAGTGATGAGTTGAAGAAAAAGAGAAAAGAGAGAAGAAAGAAATAAGAATAACTTATCTTTATAATATGAAAATAGAGAATCACTGTAATCATTCTCTCTAGTAATAAAGATCTGTTTTCTGCATGTATCTCTGATATAGATTATATAATAAATGTATACAAAGAATATCAATAGTGCATGCATTGAATGAAGATAATGTTGCTATGCAACACTGTAGTTATTTCTGTACATCTCTGAAAGCTGTTAATAGTTTCTTTATCTCTTTATATTTGATAAGTTAATAATATATTCTGATACACTCTCTCTTTCATCATCATTATTATTATTATTATCATCATTATCATTATCATCATCATCATCATTGTCATCATTATTATTATTATTATTATATCATTGCCTGTCTTCATCTCTCTCTCAATACTTATTAAAATCAATCATGTCATCTCTCTTCAAATATTCTGCGGTTCTGTGGACCATCAAGGCACGTGAGCACTGTCACAGATTGAAGAAAGAGAAGAAGAAGGTGTTCAAGCACAGAGAGACAGATTGTAAGGCATATTATAATACCTTGAAGAGGCTCTGTAAGAGAGTAGAATGATAACAATTTTAAGTAACACTTCTGATAGATTTAGACTGAACTAAGTATAGAAATAATGCAGATGACATCATCTGTGAGAGATTGAAAAAGAAGACAGTGAAGAGTCTCATACAGTAGTAATGAGATTAGAAGAAGTTCTGAGAATGATTTGAGATCAAGATGAAGAGAGAGAGAAAGAAGAAGAGTATTATTATAAATAAGCAGTGATAGAAGAAGATTGAGAAGATATTGAAGTAGGAGATAAAGAAGCTAAAACTGATAAGTTTTTTATTAAGAGATAATGATTTTTGATAACACTTCTGTTCTCTAATTGATTAGCAGAAGCTGACAGAGAAGAGAATTGAGATCTTATTCAGGTCTTGAATACACTTCATGATTCAGAACATTGAGAAGACAGTTCTGCTCTCTGAGCATGTCAATCTGCTTGTCACTGAGGTGAAACCTGAGACAGCAGATCAGGAAATACAGGATTTTGAGATGCAGATTGACCTGACTGAGAGAGAGTAGTAAGAACTCTCTTCTGAGAAGACAGCAGAGAGAGATTTTAAGATGATTATCATCTCAGATGAGAAGAAGAAGAAGAAGAATGAGAATAAGAAGTGAATTGTGAAGAATGATAAGAAGAATGAGAAAGAGAAGAAAGATAATAAGTAGAAAAAGTTTTTTTCTTTTTATATTAGTTAGTTATAAGTTCATAACTATTAGTTAATAATTGAAATTAATTTTGAGTTTTCAAAAATTATTGTACAAGTTGTAATCAATTATCAATATCAGGAATAATATATATATATATATTCAACTATCATGTCACTATAATGTATAAGTATCAACATTTTTTCAATATTGATATTTATAATATTAATATATTTTTAATAATATCATCTGATAATATAATTTGATAACACTCTCTTTCATAATATTAATATATTTCAAGAAATATGACAGAGATTAATCAAGATTGTTTATTTACTTTTATACATTGATGATATTCAATCTGAGTTAGTACTAAAATTATAACTAAGCTAAGAAAGAAGATTATTTTCTCTTATATTAATTCTTCTTACATACATCAGTGATTAGTTATTGAAAATAAATTATCATCTTTCTCAAATTATTATCATATCTTCTGAATTCACTTCTTTCACTTCTTTTACTTCTATTGAAGATTCATAAACTCTTCAAGAAATCACTATGAATTATAAAGTCTATATTATTTATAATTCAACACAGAATACTCTCTTTCAATTATAATAAATAATCACTTCATTCTTCACATCTGATTCTAGATCATGAAATTTATGAAAAACTTAATATAAACACTGAGATGAACTATGAAATAATTATCAACAGATTGTATTATAGATTACTGAAGAGTCATCTCTCTACTACAATCACTGTAACTTTATTTAGAAATATTCATTATAAACTGATCATGACTCTGAAGAAATTTCCTGACATCTGAAGTTATCAGAATGCAGATAATAAAAGAAAAATAATCAGAAAATTACTACTGAGCTGATAAGTTACTCTATTAGATAATAATTTTTGATAATACTAACTTTCTAATTTAAAGAAAATCATGTAAAAATGATTATATATCAGTACTCTGATTTCATAACTCTCATCTGATAACTTCTGTGAATAATTACTTTATATATATATATCTCTGAATCTTTCTCTTTAATCAATTGAAAACTCTGAATTCTGAACACTTCTTTAAATACTTAATTCAAATCTTCATATTTCATATCAATTCTGTCTTTAATTCAATCTTGAGACATACTACAAAGTTAATATATAATATCTAGAATCAGAGTTGAAGAATTATTGAAGAGTATCTCTCACAGTGAATACATGAACTAGTATAAATAATCTTGCATTTATAAGAGTTATATATTATTATATTGATGAGAACTGAACTTATTAAGAGATATTAATTGAATTTAAATTATTAATCAATAGTCATACTGAGAATTATATAACAGAGATATTAATAACTATGATTAAAAATGACTATTATAATATTAGTCTCAGTCTTCTTACAATTATAACTGATAATGCTGTGAATAACTATACTATGATAAATAGCTTAAAGCAAAAATTAACTTTATATTTCTAAAATGATAAATAAGGTCATATTCTCTGCATTGCTTATATAATTCAACTTATGATATAAACACTGATAAAGAATCTTAATATTGAGATAAAGAATAATGAGATAACTGATTCTTGAAATAAGAATGAGATAAAAGTAATTACTTGAGTAACTTTTATATTCACTTTATAAAAGATAATATTTTTTAATAACACTTTTTAATATTACTTTTTAATAATACTTTTTAATAATACTACTATTAATTTTGAATAGATTGACTAATAATTTAAATATCACAGATTCAAAACATTGTTAATATAATTTATATCTTCTCTAAACAATAATAATAATTTCATAATATTTAATAAATAAATAAATCAGTCATATCACTGAATATGATACAGAATATTAGAATATAATGAAGTTTAATATATAAGATAACTGTTTAAATTCTTCAATTGTATCAGATAATTAATTACTGAGTGCAATACTCTGATTGAGAAAAGATTCAGATATTGAAACTTTCTGATATGAAGTGAACTCAGTTAAAATATATGATTGATTTACTGTTTCAGTTTTATAAGATAACAAAGACAGTCTTAATTACTTGTACATCAATACTACAGTCAGTCTGATAAGTGTATAACAGTTTATTTACTTATCTTAAGAAGCAGTTGAATCACTTAAAAAGAAATTCAGTCTGAAATAATGCTATAGCACAGGCTATTATTACTGTAAGAAATAAACTGATATATTACTACAGCAAAACTGAACAATCTTTTGCAGAGTACTATACTATAACAGCTCTACTAGATCTCTTCTATTAAGTTAATATCTACACTTCTCAAGATTGAACAGAGAAGAAATAAGACTTATATATTAAATTAGTCTGAGACTACTATAATATCAACTATCAGAGATTTAAACAAGCAGATGTTAGAGATGTAAAGACAGTGAAATTCAATTCTCTAGTAAGTAATAATTTTTGATAACACTTCATATTATATAGAACTATAATACTAACTTTGAAACAGAACTTATATACATTAATTACAACTGAAAATCAGATAAAACTATATACTTATAAAACTGAATTTGACTGCTATCTTCAAGATAATTTAATAAATTTATATATTAAATCAATTCTAGAGTTATGAAAAATTATTGAGAGTATATATTCAACTATTACACTGATAATGTATGATATTCTAATAATTTCATTGACAGAGATGAGAATAAAGTGAAAGTTTAACTCAAGCTGAGATATTTATTACTATCATTAGAGACAATTATAAGAAGAAATAATTAAGAAACTTATAATTATAAAATATAAAATTATCAGACAGTTTAATATCTCTGATCACAGTATATCAGAGAAGTGTAGTTTTCATGAGAAAGTGAAGAATAAACTTGTACAAGAATGTATTTAGTTGTTTTATAAGTATTATTAATAATCATTATCAAATTCTGATTATATAAGTAATCACTGAATGAACTGAATGAGACTGAATTTAATCTTCAGTCTCAGTCTCATTCTGATTTTGAAAGAATAATTATCTTTTATAGTTTATTCTGAGAAATTACTCTTATTTCACTGTTCTTGAATTAAATCTGGTCATTTTTCATGTCATTTGTCTCAGAAATGATTCATTTTCAGATTTTTTTGAGGCTTGGTCCTGGTGAGACTCACGCCAAGAAATGTATGAGATCAGATCAAATGAGATCAAATGTGAAATTCATGATTCTGATAATCAGTCTAGATTTATCTACACTCTTTTTTTTACAGCTTCAATTACACTTTCTTTTACATGTTACATTCACTGAAGAGAGTGTGTCAGAAAAAAGAGGTTATACACTACTGAACATCATCAATATTATATTACTATAATATTTCTCATTATTATCAGCTTACTATAATACTCATCTAATACTTACTTATACTAGCTCTCTTGAATTGCATATATATTTTACTATAAATAGCTCTATCTTTTGTATGAAATAGATATATTAGATAGTGCACAGAGAATATAACAAGCAGATCTTGATACACATAAGATTCATATGTCTTCAACATATTCATCCGTGACACTCATTCCGACACAATGTTATCCTCCAAGAAAATTTGATATCACGTGATATGTAGTTGAAAAACACGCTAGCCTGTATTTAATTAGCGTCAGTGGCGGCTCTGTTCTTGTCTAGATCGCGACTAGGACGAAGGATTATTAGTCGCCAGTCTCAGTTCATCCACCCTGCTGAGCTGCGCTCCGCATCAACACTACCCGAAGCCTTACCCTGCGAATATTCCTTCTTTAAGCGGATGGAATAGGGCCTTCCTGGTGCTGTGAAAACCCCAAACTATCTGCTCAAGCCGTCACGTTCTGGGCCTCTCTCTGGGCATCTCCGCCCGCAAATCCGCCGTCGAAATCTTGCCCAGCATGGAGGATTACGAAGAAGAATATGGAGAAGATGCCTACTATGACCAAGATGAAGGGATTACATCAGAAGACTGCTGGACGGTGATTTCGTCCTTCTTCGAATCGAAGGGTCTCGTGTCGCAGCAGCTCGATTCTTTCGATGAGTTTATCTCGACGACTATGCAGGAGCTGGTGGAGGAGCAAGGACAGGTAACACTCGATCAAACTCTGGCTCCTTCTGAAGATGAGATAGACCCGGTAGTTTTGCGACGCTATGAGTTAAAATTTGGCACCGTGATGCTTGCGCGACCGTCGATGACTGAAGGCGATGGCGCTACCAGTATTATGTTGCCACAGGAAGCACGACTTCGAAACCTCACATATGCCAGTCCTCTCTACCTTGGGATTACGAAGAGAGTCACGGAAGGACGAGAGCGACTCATTGCCGAACGTGATGATGCTGAGCAAGGGGAAGAGGATCACGATGAGGAGAGGCGGAGTAGGGGAACATATTTGCACTGGGAGCCGAAGCCTTTGAATGAGGATGAGCCAGAAGAAGAGAATGTTTTTATCGGAAGAATGCCGATTATGCTGAAGTCGAAATACTGCATCCTCAAGGATCTAAATGAACAGTCGCTCTACAACTGGAACGAATGCCCTTACGATTCCGGCGGATACTTCATTATCAACGGCAGTGAAAAGGTTCTTATCGCTCAGGAGCGCAGTGCAGGCAATATTGTTCAAGTTTTTAAGAAAGCTCCTCCAAGTCCAACACCATACGTCGCGGAAATCCGAAGCGCGATTGAGAAAGGATCCAGAATACTGTCCCAGCTGTCAATAAAGCTTTTCGGTAAAGGTGACGCCTCCAAGGGTGGCTTTGGCCCAACGATCCGATCTACGCTACCTTACATCAAAACCGACATCCCCATAGTTGTTGTTTTCCGGGCTCTAGGTGTGGTGTCTGACGAAGATATCCTCAACCATATTTGTTATGACCGGAATGATACGCCAATGTTGGAAATGCTTAAGCCATGTATCGAGGAAGGGTTCGTTATCCAGGATCGTGAGGTAGCTCTTGACTTCATCAGTAAGCGAGGCTCTTCCCCCACAAGCATGAATCATGAGAAGCGGGTTAGGTACGCGAGGGATATCATCCAGAAGGAATTCCTTCCGCATATCTCTCAGAGTGAAGGTAGCGAGACGCGGAAAGCATTTTTCTTGGGATATATGGTGCACAGGCTTCTCCAGTGTGCCCTAGGTCGTCGCGATGTTGATGACCGCGATCATTTTGGAAAGAAAAGACTGGATTTAGCTGGCCCGCTACTTGCCAACCTTTTCAGAATTCTGTTCATGAGAGTTACCAAAGATCTTTACAAATACGTCCAGAGATGCGTGGAAACTAATCGGCAACTATACCTGAACATTGGCGTGAAGGCAAGCACCTTATCTGGGGGTCTTAAGTATGCTCTTGCTACAGGTAACTGGGGCGAGCAGAAAAAGGCGGCTAGTTCCAAGGCTGGTGTTTCGCAAGTGCTAAATCGCTACACATATGCCTCGACCCTTTCCCATCTTCGCCGTACCAACACACCCATTGGACGTGATGGCAAGATTGCGAAGCCTCGACAACTTCACAATACTCACTGGGGACTTGTCTGTCCGGCTGAAACGCCGGAAGGACAAGCTTGTGGTCTTGTTAAGAATCTGGCTTTGATGTGTTATATTACTGTTGGTACACCAAGCGAACCGATTATTGATTTCATGATACAACGCAACATGGAAGTTCTAGAGGAGTTTGAGCCTCAGGTGTCGCCGAATGCGACCAAAGTCTTCGTCAACGGTGTATGGGTGGGAGTTCATAGAGATCCTTCTCATCTTGTAAACACAGTCCAATCGTTGAGACGACGTAACATGATTTCCCATGAAGTCAGTTTGGTGCGAGACATTCGAGACCGGGAATTTAAGATCTTCACCGATGCTGGACGAGTCTGCCGGCCTCTCTTTGTGGTTGAGAATGACCCGAAGAGTGAAAATTGTGGCTCTCTTGTGCTATCCAAAGAGCACATCCACAAACTCGAAGCGGACAAAGAGCTTCCACCAGATTTGGATCCCGAAGAGCGCAGAGAACGGTACTTTGGCTGGGACGGCCTTGTTAAATCCGGTGTTGTTGAATATGTGGATGCGGAGGAGGAAGAAACCATTATGATTGTCATGACACCCGAGGATTTGGAAACTTCAAAACAATTACAAGCTGGATTTAGTCTTCCGGAGGAAGATAATAATGACCCCAATCGACGAGTCCGATCGACTCTTAGCCAAAAAACGCATACCTGGACCCATTGTGAGATCCACCCCAGTATGATTCTAGGTATCTGTGCCAGTATCATTCCGTTCCCCGACCACAACCAATCCCCACGTAACACATATCAAGCTGCTATGGGAAAACAAGCTATGGGTGTTTTCCTCACAAACTTCGACCAGCGGATGGAAACGATGGCAAACATTTTATACTATCCACAAAAACCACTTGCTACAACGCGGTCTATGGAGTTCCTGAAATTCCGCGAGCTTCCTGCTGGGCAGAATTCAATTGTAGCAATTGCTTGCTACTCTGGGTACAACCAGGAGGATTCTGTGATCATGAACCAGAGTAGTATCGATCGTGGTCTTTTCCGGAGTCTGTTCTACCGAACCTACACAGACTCCGAAAAGATGGTCGGTATGACTGTCGTGGAAAGATTTGAAAAACCCATGAGATCAGACACCCTTCGCATGAAGCATGGTACTTATGATAAGGTCGATGATGACGGTATTGTTGCTCCTGGTGTTCGTGTTTCGGGTGAGGATATTATCATCGGGAAAACTGCTCCCTTGGCACCTGAGGCAGAAGAGCTAGGCCAGAGGACGAAACAACATACAAAACTCGATGTTTCTACTCCTCTGCGTAGTACCGAGAGCGGTATCGTCGACCAAGTTTTGGTCTCTACGAGCAATGATGATCTGAAATTCGTCAAAGTTCGGATGAGAACTACAAAGATTCCTCAAATTGGAGACAAGTTCGCTTCTCGCCACGGCCAAAAGGGTACCATTGGTATTACATATCGACAAGAAGACATGCCCTTCACTCGTGAAGGCATTGTTCCGGATCTGATTATCAATCCCCACGCCATTCCTTCTCGAATGACCATTGCCCATTTGATCGAGTGTCAGCTTAGTAAAGTTTCGTCACTCCGTGGATTTGAAGGTGATGCAACGCCATTTACAGACGTGACAGTAGATTCCATCTCCAGCTTGCTCCGTGAACACGGCTATCAGTCCCGCGGCTTTGAGGTGATGTACAATGGATATACGGGCCGAAAGTTGGTCGCCCAAGTCTTCCTGGGTCCAACTTACTACCAACGCCTACGACATATGGTCGACGATAAGATCCATGCCCGCGCACGTGGCCCAACCCAGATTCTTACACGCCAGCCTGTGGAAGGTCGTGCGAGAGACGGTGGCCTTCGATTCGGAGAGATGGAACGCGATTGTATGATTGCTCATGGCGCCAGCGCATTCCTAAAGGAAAGATTATTTGACGTGTCTGATCCATTCCGTGTCCACATCTGCGATATCTGCGGGCTGATGACACCAATTGCGTGAGTTTCTTCATACCATAAATTGACCATTATGTTTGTCCTGTCCCTCTAGATGTTTCAACTAACCTAGTTACCAAAATAGGAAACTCAAAAAGAGCGATTTCGAATGTCGGGCTTGCAAGAACAAGAACAAGATTTCGCAGGTCCACATCCCGTATGCTGCCAAGCTTCTTTTCCAAGAGCTAATGTCGATGAATATCGCCGCACGATTGTTTACGAAGCGGTCCGGGGTGTCTTTGCGATAATGTTAACCCGTGCCATTATGCATGTCTTGATCACCTGACCCCAATTCTTGAGGGTTGGCCATCCAATATTCGAACATGCTACACCTCCCAACATTTGGGAACCCGCATTGTACACAGGAGAAACTTCTTCTACACTCAACAGGGGTTCTCCTAAGAAAAGTTGTACTTTTAATTAGCAAGGTTCATTTTTATCCTTTTTATTTTGTCGTTACCATCTCAAATCCTCTGTTTCCAGCCGATTTCGCGATTTATGCAAATCTTTCCCCTTTTTCTCGACTTTCTCATACAAACATGAGATAAAAATACACGCAGTCCCGTCAACGCAAGAGGCAAATTCCCCTATACATTTCTTCCTTTGGCGTTGTTCATGGCGTTTCTCGAAATTGTTGCCGTTTCCGTTTTTGGACTTCGAGAAGGCGAAGGTTGGGGAAAATTTGGAATGTTTCGACGGAAGGAAATACCTAATTGAATAGCAGGCAGGTCACACAGTTTTAACATAGGCGGGTTTATTTCTTGGTCCTCCCATCCCTGCTTTGCCTCTTGAGCTAATAATGGCTGGTGATGAATCCAAAATATCACCTCAACCTTGATTCTGCCTCGTCTTTTCATTCTCACTCATGTAGTACAGAAGTGGCTATCATAACAGGATTGATTAATACATACATAAAGCTACTTAAGGGCCTGTTCGGTGACCCCGTCCAGGGCCATATAAGGCTATACAGTTCCAGGTTGTACGGCCCTGGACGGCTCTGGCTGGGGTTATATACACACTAACCTGGTTGAATAAGGTTTTCTGTTTAGTAGATTCTGTGTGTAACTTCATACAACTCACCAAGCATGTCAAGCTGACAGTCAGATTCATATTATAGAGTTCAACAGTGTATTTAGTTGAAAATGTGATAGATTTGAACCTATTCAAGTTAAATCTGCACTGTATACACTGGAATGAGTTGCAATATCTGCTGACACATTTCAGAGTGACTGTACAGCGTTCAGAGATCTGCAAATATTATCAAAAATCAATAATTATACTGTGTAACTGTGATAATGCAACTTAAAAGACAATACAATAGTATTTATATCATAGTCAGTAGCTTATAAGACTTGTTACTACAGAAGTGATTAATCAGAACATTTTAACTGTTTAATCTGATATATGATGTATGTATTATGATTTATTTCATAGTTTTCAATTTATTACTCAGTTGTTGAATTTTAATTCTCATTTACTATGTATTAAAAATATGACTCAGATAAATATCAGTACATTCATTGTATTAATTGACTGATTGAGAAGAAATACTGAGATTCATAAATCTATGTGATTCAAAGGTTGCTTGAGCCAGCGTAAGATTATAGGCGTACGCCGGCTCCTTATATAATTAGTGAGGCCGCTAGGGCCCCTTACACACTTGTAAGTGTATTCAGAAGCGGCCGCGTTATTATCCGGCGGCCGCACGTTCTTCCGAACCACATCCTTCCTCATCAAATTGTTGGGGGATCTGTTGGTGATTACTACACCTACTCTTGGAGGATAACGTTGTTGTGTTGTAATCTAACTACGCGAGTTACACTAAATAGGTTGGGGTGGCACGTGACTAGGGTAGGTGTAGTAATCACCAACACCCCCCCTTGCTACACCGTGGTCTATAAGCCGCCACCCGGGGCCTCCCCCATCCTCAAATCTTTCAAAAATGCAATAATAATTAATTACATCAATCGGACCCTGATTTCCTCATTAGGAAAGGCGTCTGTATGGCAATAACTGTAAAAATCAAGAAATACATGCAAAATCCATTGATCTGCTGTATCATCATTATCATTCAATCATTCCTTCTTCTCAATTTCCTGAATGCCAACCCTCTTGACAAATTCTTCAAATGCAGGCTTCATCAGTGGCTTGGTGAGCCTGTCAGCTATGTTTGCTGTAGAACCAACATGTTCCATCATGATTTCTCCTTTTTCAATCAAATTGCAGAGAATATGATATCTAATCTTGATATAGTGTGACCTTTGTGTTAAGAATTCTCCCTTTGCTAGATCAATTGCTCCCTTATTGTTAACTTATAGATGTGAGCATATTTTTGCTTTTTCATCATTCATCAATCTAGCATCATATAACATATTATTCAATCAGATTATCTCATAAGCTGTCTCACTAGCTACAATATATTCAGCTTCTGTGATTGATTTGATAATAGATATCTGTCTCTGCAACTGCTATGAGATCAGTGACTCATTAATCAATATAATATAGTCAGTAGTTGATTTGTATTGAGAATTCACCCCTGCTCAGTTCAAATCACAGTATGTCACAGAACTCAGGCCATCTTCTATCTCCTTCTTGTATAATATGCCATGATTTTTCATCTTCTTGACATAATATAGAACATGCTTCAATGCTGTTCAACATGTCTTATACAGATGTGAGTTAAAGTATAAGAGATAGTTGACTGTAAATACCAGGTCTGATCAGCTGCTTGAGACTAAATATTGCAATGATCTCAATTCTTAATAATATCTTATAGCTGTAAAGTCATTATTCAATCTCTCTCTCTCATCAGATAAGAATTTCAGTTATATACTGACTATCATCAGAGTGTTAGCTGGATTTATCTTATTCATGCTGAAATCTTCAAGAATCTCTTTAATATAACAGCTCTGTGTAACTGCTAGATTATCATTTCTCTGATATTTAATCTTCATCTCAAGATATGACTTGATCTCTTCAACATTCTTTGTCTCAAATCTCTTTACAATCTTCTTTAATACTCAGTCTAATTACTGTTCTTGAGATCTTATTATCTGATAATCATTAATATATAATATCAGATAAATCTTATAAACAGAGTGATATAGAAATCTGCTGTTATAAGATAATATCTTGAATCTCAATATAGTCAGATACTCTGTTGTGAGAAAATACTATATTCTTACAGCTTACTTCATTTCATATAGACTCTGACAGAGTAATCTTATCAAGCTCTCTCTATCATACTTAATATCTGTGAATAGTTGTATATAAATCATCTTATTCTGTGATAGTATATCATTCAAAAACATAGATACATAGTCAATCAATTTAATCTTTTATTCTTTGATAGTTGATATAGTGAATAGACTATATAATATAGGCTCTGATATCACTGTAGTATATAATCTTATATAATGAATACTCTGCTATTATAAGAACTCTCTAATGACTTAGTGAGCTCTAAAGCAGATGATTTCTCTCTTATTATTAAATTTCTGATTATATACTTATTTATCTATAAGAATATTCATTTCCAGAGTCTTCTTAATAATAATATATATCTTCTTCTATTCAAATATCTTAATCTTCTTTTTCATTGTCTTATATTAATAGTCTCAGTCTGAACTTCTCTTGACTTCTGTCAGCATAGTTGATCAGTCTGTCAGAATACTTAGAACAGAATTATTCTTATTAATAAGATTTTTGAACTCTTCATTTATAACAAGCTGAGTCTTATTATCTAGAAGATAGATTGAATTAATTATACTCTCTAAGTTCTTATTAATAATTATCTTCAAAATATCTGACTTTTTCTTTACTAGATGTTATAGTAAGTAGTACTGTCATTTCTCTCTAATATTCAGAATATTCAATTTATTAGATAATTCATTGAATTCTCTCACTGTATTTACAGATGTATTTGCACTCATGTCAAGAGCTTCATTAAATATAATATCTCATACAATCTCAAGATAACATGCAACAGAATCTCATACATAATATTAATATAATTCTTAATATTTAATTAGCTGTTATTCTCTGTCATCAGTTCTATCTATGAGCTTATTGAACACTTTCAAATTCTTCTTATAGATCTTACACTCTTATCTTCATATTCAATGAATAGAAGATTGCATCTCAGTTCATACTTTAAAAGATGTAAGTGATGTTTCTTTCTTACATTCAAATATCTTTATTAATATTGAGAATGTATTGATTATCATGATTATAGTTTATATTACTTTATCTCAAAGTTCTCTTTCTAATTCACTATTAAATAGTAGACTTTGTATCTTTTCTACAACTATTCAATTTATACATTTCACTGAGTCATTTGATTATAATATATTAGATATAGTCATTTCATATATTATTTCTTTGCTCTGACAGTAGATCTTAAGTTCTTGACTTTTGAACTCTTCTTTATCATCTCAGTGTAGAGTTTCAACTTGATATTGTGTAGTTATCTTAATATTCATGATAAAGTTTATTAATCTTACAGTAGATTCTCTCTTTCTTATTATAAGAATTACTCATCTATAACAGATTATATTGTTCATTATACTTAATTAGTAGCTTACACTCTTTCTAGTGAGAGTATCATTCTCATTGAAAAGTGTTTTTTCACTCTCTGTTAGATTGATGAAGAATCTCATTACTGACTTAAAAGCTTATATTATAGATATGAAGATTAGATATATCATTTTTATCTGAATATAGACTTTGTAGAATGATAAAGCTTATTAATCAATAATTCTCATCTCTAGATATAAATCTATCATTATTTTTACAATATCTGTGAGATTTAGATGTTCTAGCTTTTAATATCATTGTATTATTGTAAGTTTTATAATCTTTGTATCATTTCTTTCAGATAGTATCAATATTATGTCATCTTTCACTTATAATGTATTCACAGATTCAAAATCATTATTGAGTATAGCAAACTGAATCAAGTCTCTGTATATAATCAGTCTTTTCATCTCATAGATATCATTCTCATTTAATCTTACTGTAAATGAGAATATATAATCAGAAGACATAATTAACATAGCATGATTATTCTTATATATTAACTGCTTATAAGTATAACTCTGATATACAAGCTTATTCATACTCATGAGATTCACTTTTAACTTTGAGACATAGCAGATATTATTTAACAGTATATTCATCTCTTTCACTGAAATCTTTATATCTTCTATAGCTGCAGCAGAGATCACTGTTCTGTCTATTATTTTCAACATCACTTTCATCTTCTGAGGTTTTGTCATGACAAGATCTCTGTGAGATGTGACATGAGCATGTGATTCAGAGTCTAGAATTCAGATATCTTTTTCTGTCTGATTACTTACATAGATCTTTTTCTTGATACAAAATACTTACTTTATAACATTATGAATAGAAGCAGCATCTGTATTCTCTGCATTCTTGTCTTTATTCTTATTTCTATTTATATTAAAGTTTGAAGAATATTTCTCAGAGTATTTCTTTCAACAGTCAGTGTGAATATAATCAATCTTTTGACAATGATAGCAGATTCTTATATCATTATCTCTACATTCAGGTTTGAATTCAGTGTTCTTGTTCTTGTCATTGTCTTTCTCTTTATTCTTATCTTTCTTATTCTTATCTTGTGTGGTTGTTGATAGAATTTCTAGATATATCAGTATTTGCTTTATTTGCAGCAGAGAGCTGTAAAAGAATATCACAGTACAGGTTTATAAAATTATTCTCTAAAAATTGAGTATTATCTTTATCAATTTAATTCATTCAATTTCTTATAAATGAGGCTCAATCTCTGTTAACTTCTGTAAGCAGTCTGTTAAAAAACATGATATTCAGAATCTCATATTCTAGACAGATATAATCAGTTCTTATAGCAATCAGATATTCAATAAAAGCTCTGTCAGATTCTTTGCTTTTGAAGATTATTTTAATAAGCTCTTTAAATAAATGAGTTCTATATACAGCAGGTCTCTCAGAAAAGTTATTCTCTATAATAGTTTATAGAGTATAAGCTGATAATTTGAACTTCTTAAGTATAGTGAAATAAGTGTTGATCTGCAGAGCAATTGCAGATCATATGTAATTATATAATCAAAGATTGCATTCTTTTCAGAAATATTATATGTTCATAGTAACATTCTTATCAAGATCATTATCTTCAAGAATATCATCAATCTCAGACTACTCTACAGTCAAAAGAATTTTCTCTCTTTACATTGAGTAGTTAATGTATTCAGTGAGAACTATTAATCTTTTGATAAGTCTTACTTAGCTTCTAAATTCTTTAAGAACTTTTATTATAACAGATATCTTCTCTTTTCATTGAAGATATTCTGTCAGATCTGCTCTCATCTCATTACCTGCAGAATCACCTCTACTGATCTTCATTCACTCAATCTCATACTGAAGTCTTGCAATTTCTAGTCTCATG